ACGCACACACACACACACACACACACACACACACACACACACACACACACTCCCCATCGCCTCTCGAATAAACTGGGGAATAATGATTGATCAGGCCCGGGGTTCGGGGATTTATCTTTATGCACATGCTATTTTGTGAAAGTGTTGTATGAAGTCACAGGATGGTCATTTTTCATTCCGCTGTGTATTGCATCAACTGGAATTCCACTCATAGTATTTCCAAGTCTGGTAGTGTTTCATGATGAGGTGAATCTGGCAATGGTTTGTGAATAGGAGCCCGCCAATGGTGCAGTGATAAGCTTTCCCATACTCCTCTTGCCTTCTCTTCTTTTGTTCTTCATTCCTTCGCCATCGAATTCTTGGCCCTGAAGCCCTTCTTTAGTGAACTCTTTGAACCCCTCATTTGGTAAAATGGTTTGGCTTAGTCTGAGGCTGTTGCACATCACTGCAACTATGGAGCCTCGAAAATCTTTTCCAAAAGCAGGTGGATAGAGTTTTTCTTCCTGTTAAACTCACTTTAAATCTCCTAGAAGTACGTTGTTGCCTCTCAGGGGTGTGTCCCAGAGCCGAGCTTTGCAGCCCGCCGCGTCTAATGTCGTGGGGGTTTAGTAACAAGTATCACACACACACACACACACACACACACACTATATATATATATATATGTATTAGTAAGTATTCGAAGTTCGGTTGCAGTGGTCGGGTTGGGGTTTGAACCCACGTATAGATTTTGAAATACTGAATTTCTCATTGAGATAACCATTGAGGCGGACTGGGTCCCTGTATTAGGGGACTGCTTTCTTTTGAACTGTATCCGCATCAGGCTGCGGGCACGTCAGGATGTGCCTGTGTGTCGAAAGCTAAGACCACCAGTCCCCCAACTGCCAAAACCCCCCAGTCCCTGTGAGTTAGGGCCGGGTTCTACGAAGGGGCGGCGACCGTTCGTCACCGGCGGGTCCAATTCTGCCATTTGCAAGTGGTAACTTTGCCGATTTTTGTAGCTCAGAAGATTTCATCAAATCGTCTGAAAAGTTGAGGGTCCGTAGATTAGGTTGTGATATTTTAAGGCAAAATATCAAAAAAAATAAAAAAAAATCATTTTGACCGTGAAATAAGCGCCGCGCCGATTCGTTTTTTTTTTCACAAATTCAATTTTCGTGGCCCGCCCGGTCCAATCCTGCCATTTGCAAGCGCTAACTTTGGCGATTTTTGTAGCTCAGACGAATTATCAAATCGCCTGAAAATTTGTAGATCCGTAGACTAATTGCTGATCTTTCAAAGAAAAATATCAGAAAAAAATAAAAAAAATCATTTTTATCGTGACATAAGCGTCGCGCGGATTCGTTTTTTTTCTCGTGAAGTCAATTTTCGTGGCCCACCCGGTCCAATCCCGCCATTTGCAAGCGGTAACTTTGGCGATTTTTGTAGCTCATAAGAATTCATCAAATCGCCTGAAAATTCATTTATCCGTAGATTTGAGTCGTGATCTTTCAAGGAAAAATATCAGAAAAAATAAAACAAATCATTTTGACCGTGACATAAGCGCCGCGCCGATTCGTTTTGTTTTCACAAATTCAATTTTCAAGGCCCGCCCGGTTTTCTGTTTTGTACCCGGTACCCGTCGTGAAACGCCGCTACCGGTACCCCCGAGGTTTTTTACGCCGGGGGGACTGGTCGTCTAACGTCGCACAGTGTGGTAGGCGGGTCAATAATGATTTTTTTTTTTTTTTTTTTT